ACGAGCAGACTATTAGCCGAATCACCTCAGAGCTCTCCTTCATTCTGTCGGGGTTCTCAGAGCTGATACCAGCGTTTTTACATTAACAGCTTTAATCATGTGGACTTTTACAGTCATTTACACACTTTGGCAGGAAAATGGAGCTAATAGGAATCTGTGATATTAAACAGCCATAGTTTAATAAAAGGAAGGGCCAGGATTTAATAAATATTGAAATCCCATATCAAAGCGATCCTTCACCCAGGAAGATAATTGAGAAGACACCTGAAAGACTCAGGAAAAATAGCTGATTAGTGATTTGGAAGATCAGTTTTAACATGTTAATTTAAGAGAAGTTCTTTAGGAGCTTTTCCAAGGTAAGAGATGCTGTTGCGTGAGGCTACTTTAGTTCTTTATATTTTTGTTATCAATAATAATAAAAGTGCACAATGCTAGCCTGTGGGTATTATATGGGACTTGCTCTATGGAAATCAGTCACATTGACCCTAAAACACATGTTGAGTACACTGTTGGAAAAGGGAGATTCCTAGCTTTCTAATGATATCAAGATTGTTTTTAAACTGCAAATATTAAGCAAAATATGTCACATTATAAACAGGGTTCCCGCGGGGTCTTAAAAATACTTTCAAAGTCTTACATTTGATAATCAGAATTTAAGGCGTTAAAAAGTCTTAAATATGATCAAAAAAATAAGAAAGGTCTTGAATCGGATTTAGAACAGTGGTTGTCAACTGGTCAGGCGTCGGGACCCACTTTTTACTTGATCGATACATCGCGACCCAACATTTTGAAGCAATCAAATCTATTCAACTAAAATACGTGCTGTAATATATACGCTTTTCAGCATACAATATTAATACAAGTGAAGTACAGTGCATATACCCCTTATATCCCTTCACAGAACTAAAGTATGCTTTTAAAAGTTTAATGAGATGATGGAATCAAAGCTGAACTATATAAAAAGGCACACATGCTGAAAATCCAACACCAGCGGGAGATTTTTAGAAATACTAACAAACTATGCATTCTTGTACNCTCAACAAGCACCTGCAAAGGCAACATGCTAACGTGAAGCTAATAGCTAAGGAGGACCTCCGAATCCAGAGTGAGGATGTCGAGTAAAGTAACGAGTAAGTTACTCGTTACTTTACTCGACATCCTCACTCTGGATTCGGAGGTCCTCCTTAGCTATTAGCTTCACGTTAGCATGTTGCCTTTGCAGGTGCTTGTTGAGGTTTGACACAGTTTGCACCTCACCGTCACATTCCTGTCCTTTCTTCGGACGAACTCAAAATAATGGGCATACCTCCACCTCTCGAAAGTTATCGCTGTTGACTCGACGATGTTTATGCACTGCGTGTGGACGCCGCAGGTTTATATTTACGTAACATTTGCGCAAGTCGCGCAAATGTTACGTAAATATAAACCTGCGGCGGAAATTCCTCTGGTCTGTCAAAGGGAGAATCTAGTAATTCTTTATGTTAGTAGGCTAACTGTAGTGTGATTACTGATTTTATAAAAGTAACGAAGTAACGCGTGTCGGGCAATGATAGTAACTGTAGTGTGATTACTGAATTATAAAAGTTACATGACTCTGTTACCGACAAAAGTAATATTATTACACTAACGCGTTACCAACTCTGGTTGTTACAGCTCTTTACATTCCTCCTGTTGGAAATTCAAGAAATGCACATATACATGAATGCCTCAATATTCATTCTGTTCTGTTCTTCTTCTCAACACTTATCTACACCTGAGTGTCTTTGTGCAACCATGTGAAGCGGAAAGCAATGAAATACCCTTGAATTCTTGAACTGCAACATCGATATCCCTTCATAGAGAAACTATAACTGAGTACATTCACTTTATTATATATGTATTCCCACATGTGCTCTGGCAGACATTGCTATATAGAAAGTATTCAGAGGTGTGTACTGAAGAACAATGCTTTGTCCGGAGAGAAACACTCATTTCTTCCTCCTCTGCTCGTCTATTGTTCTGCTGATCAGCGGCGGCTTTCATCAAGCTGATTTCGTTTTTCTGCATCAAGGCTGTTCTCATTTATTCATTTGCTTTCTCATTTTTCTGCATGCTGTAGTTTTCTGTTCTTTACCTCCACGCTGCGTTCTCTCGTCATTCGGCTTCCTTATCAGGCGGTCGTCGCTTGTCCTCAGAGATTTGAAGTTTCCTCGCTTACATTCGAGCGCGAGGCGTGATGTTGTTTTTCATATCTGTCCTTCACGAATCTGTAATTTTCTCCTCTCAGTTTGTCATCACGTTTCCTCACGGCAGGACATTCTCTTTTTATATCACTGTACAAATCAGCTCAAGCTATTTCAAAAGGATCAGTTGAGTTTTTCTGCTTCTTTCTTCCCGTCTCAGAAAGCACGTAGATAATAATGTGTTTTGATTTGGGTTTGACTAAAATACTCACCACATTACTACAGTGAAGTTAAATGTGCTGATCACAGACGAACATTACTGAATGTCACAAATCCAGTCTGAGCGTCGGGGGGATTTTCAGTTCAATCAGTTTGTTGAAAATCTCAGGCAGACGTTTAAAACAAAATGTCAGCGAATAATATTAACCATTGAATGTTCTTTTATCTTCGTCTAATCTAACAGTTCCTCCCTAACCACAGCTAAAGTATATCGGGATAAAAGATCAATCACTCCGATCACTAGAGGATGTGTTGAAACCATGAAACACATGTTAAATATAACTCTGAACAGGAAGTTTTCAAAGTCGCTGATGCTGTGTCTCATTTCAGGTTCTCTCTTTAGTCCATTGACATGTTGTACATGTTGTGTGAATATTTGTGCAGTGTGTGAATTTTCGACCGTTTGTTGTTACCGTTGATTGTCGCTATAAGTTAGCTAGCTAATTAGCGATGTTATTGTTCACGGAAGCAAATAATTACAGACAGCTTAACTAACACTATTTATCTTGATTTTCAACACCAGTATAGTTACATTACATTATAATAATAATAATAATAATAATAATAATATATTACATTTATATCAGTGTTAATGTTGGCAGCTGTTTTTGATTTAGTCTTAGTCTTTAGACGAAAATGGTTATTAGTTTTAGTCACATTTTAGTCATTCCTATCCTTCGTAGTTTTAGTCTAGTTTTAGTCGACGAAAACTCAAACATTTTAATCAACTTTTAGTCGATGAAAAATTACATTTTAGTCAAAATGTGTCTCTATACTCTCTGAACGCTCCGTCCCCGGCAGATCTCTGTGTCCGCTGCAGCATGTCTGTTAGGCCCCGCCCCCGCACACAGAGAGACACAGGGAGATCGCTCTTCTGGAGTGAAGAGAGCGGAAATAATGATATTGCAAGTTAGAAACGTAAAATGCATTTTGACAGACAAGACGGACAATTGAATGTCCGATACTCCACCATTAACACCTTAGTCCCGTCTCGTCTTGTCAATAAAAACTAAATATACATTTCGTCATAGTTTTCGTTATCAAGAATCTATTTTTAGCTCGTCATCGTCTTGTCTTAATTATGTAAAAAAGGTTGTTGACGAACATTTTTCGTCATAGTTTTCGTTGACGAAATTAACANCATGATGGCTGAGAGAAAGAGGAGCGTTGTGTGTGGAGCTATTTCACAACTGGCAATTCAAACTTAGCGAACTGTGATGTGTGCAAGAAGACAGTTCGCCACTCTGGCCACTTTGTATTGTTATATTTCATGTTTGCACTTTAAATTTGCAAAAGTAATACGTTTATGTGTCTATAAAAACTGTCCTGTCTTTATTCATGAAAATGAATTCAGATTTAGTCTATTTATGATGCTTTCAGCTCAAAAATCATGTCATGCAGCTCTCCCCTACATAAGATGCTTTTCATTTAAAAAAGTATCGATATCGGTATCGGCGATACTGGCCCTTAAATACTTGGTATCGGATCGAATCCAGATTTTGTGGTATCGCCCACCCCTAAGATGTGTAGTTTTATTCATGCTTTCACATAATTTTACAGCATATTGCTATACTATTTCAGACTCAGTATTTACATTCTTATATTCAAAGAAAATCAGTAATATCTTTAAAAACAACAAGTCCTTTTATATCAGCTGTGCACCGTTATGGTGTAAATATAACCTATCTATGAATTAGATCAAATGTAAAAGTCAGCCGAATTAGTGTTGATACTGCGAGGAGACGAATTGTGTGAAGAGAAATTGAAGATGTTGTTTAATTGTTGATATATTTATGATCCACGTCAAGTCTTCAGTTTCGGCTGCATTTCTTCCAGTTTTTCCAAAGGTCTTCTCATCAGGGCTCTATAAATAAAGAACTACGGCAGATATGTAATATGTAATGCAGCCGGACCGTGTATTACAATGCCGTTATGTGATGACTTTCAAAGAGAAAAGCAAGAACACTCGGAATTAAGTATTTTATTCTTTTAAAATGTTTTTCCGATTTCATATCATATAAACACCAAATCCCAACATGCATTGCGGCTAAAACATCCAATCAGCTAGCTTAAACCATAGCTGAGGATCTTGGGTAATCGCTCGAAATGCGTACATCTGTTTCCGGTTTATTTTTATTTTGAAATTCAGTTCTGACGGACGCCAAAAAAGCCAGAGATTATGGAATTAAACAAATAAATAAAAACAAGGATAATTGTGTGTTATTGGTGAGTAAATAACAGAGTGTTATTTTGAAAAGAATAACAAATTAGAAGGAAAAAAAGATTTTTAAAAAATACAGATTTCAGTATCCTGAGGCTCTCAGCCCCATTTATTTTCCTCACAGACGGCAAAAAAGTCAGAAATTATACGATTTAAAATAAAAGCAATAATTGTGGCTTGATATTGAGTAAGAACATGCTTTTATGAACCGGTCTTCCTATAACACGTGATGGCGTGAGACTACCAATATAAATACATTGCTTTTAAAATCGTGCTGTGCAACACAAAAAAAGGGGGAAATCGTGTTGGTGAACACGAAATGCGATGAGACTGGGTTGAACATTCTAACAATGACTATGCTAACATATGCTAACAGGTTTAACGGTCACTGTGTGTACCGTTTTTCTAAATTGCGTCAGATTGCTTTGATTTACAGAAACACAAAGCACAGCTGAGGCTTATGGGAATGTTTAGTTTTGCAGTTTTTTTAACATTAACCAAATTATTGGGCAAATTATAAATGTGGACTTGATAATGTCACTAAATAGGAGAAACATTAAGGGTCATCAGGATTCATCCTATGGTCACCGTGGATGGATAAACCACATTTCATAGCAATAGTTGTTGCAATCTTTGTGTGTCCAGCTTAAAATATTTGTCTTTTAAAGTTTGGTTTGATGTTGGTCTCATGGCTTCACAAACAAAGAGCTTCAATGTCGGATTTGAAAGGTGGCATTTTGTCTCGCGAGAGTCGGAATATTTGCTGCTAAGTCAGAGAAATAACTCTTTGTCCAAGAAATCTGGTGTTTCGAAAACAAAGTCTCAACCACTTCAGTTCCGGTGACACAGTAGTTATATCGCTGACGGAAACATTTAGCTGCAGTGTGAAACAACTGCCTCTCTTTGAAATACAGACAACAAAAACTACCCAATAAATCGTGATCTGATCCTAAATATGTAATACCATTCAGGTAGTTCTTGTATTTGTCCATAATAACGTTGAGCTGTTGCTGATAAACGCCCGCTGCTCGCACCGCTCTCGACCCGTCGGCCCCCTCCAGACGAGCCTGATGGATCAACATCTGGGTGTGAAACGCAGCGCCGTTCACCCACTGCTTCAGAAGCCTAGAGTCCAGATGTCCATCGACCAGCATGGAGTTCTGGGAAAGAAAAAGGAGCACAATAGGTGTTAGAGCCATTTTCCTTTCATCATTATGGTTTGAATGTTTGTCTTATTAATACAAATAAACTCTCAACTATTTAATTTTTGTGAGTCACACCAGAAGAAGTTCAATAAAAAATGTAAACATTGAATACAATTTACAATTTAAGGTTGTACCTTTAGCCGCGTTAGCTGTGCACTGAGATCGCTCTCTATTTGCCGGGTCTCAGCTAGTTGGAGCTGTGGCTTCCCCAAGTTGATCTGCAGACGCTTCAAATACTCGTCCATCAGGTCTCGGACCTTCACAGTAAAATGTAGAATGTCAACATTTATGGTCAGAAAAACGTTTTATATATCGATTTTGAAGGGGTACATTTAAAAGGTTAAACATTTGTTCTGAAATAAAATCATTAATTTTATAAACATGACTTAATGTTAGAGACAGATTTTTTATTTTGTGAAAAGGTCAAATATTGTCACCTAGTGGCGACCTCTGTAGTCAAGAGACTATGAACGACTACAATTCCCAAGCCTTTAGGAGACACAGATATGTGCAGAAAACAATATCAGTTTGTTTATCATTTGATTTGAGTTTAGCCTCTTTTGTTTTGATTTGATCGAATATATGAAAGCCTGTTTACTTTGTTGAATGTGTGAAAAAAATATGAATATAATAGTTATGTTCTGAATAACCACTAGTTGTACAACATTAACACAACACAAACAAGTCGTCACAGCTGTGAGAGAAATGAATATATTAAAAGATTAGGCGTTAAAATGTTTGTTTAAAAGGTGTCTAAGAGGCTTAATGGAAACAAAGGAAGGAAGTTGCGACAGCTAACCTTCACAACCTGTTAATAACCCGGAGAACCATCGGGGTCTCACCTCATTGCCCTTCTCCTCTGCAAACACCCTCTGCAACATTTCAGCCGTGCCCACGGTTTTTTGCCCCAAGCTTTTCAAGATTATCTCTAACATCATGGAAATGACGAGAGCACCGAGTCCCACAGCGTTGGGCACCATTGTGAGCCCAGCGAATGCACCACCCAGCTTCTCTACAGCACTTGGAATATCGATGACATGGTCACGGTAACTGTCCAGCACATCGTTTGAGTTGAGTCCAGAGTAACTTAGCAGGGAGCTGAGTGCAGAGAAATACTCATTAGTCTTCTGTAATGGAAATTATGATTATCAGAGAATTGATTGCTATAATGTTATATTTAACATATAAATAATAATATTCTCTAAGCCTTACATGTACAGACAGTAGATCTCAGGATTCAGGAAGGTGTTCAGTCACAAGGTGTCATGTGACCACACAGTGATCTGATCATGGGTCTATTGTACTTTAATAGGGTCATCATGGGTCAGTTATCTCATGACTAAGTATGTATTCATTGTAACTGTATAAAAGTTCTCTCTTCAGTTTGAGTAGTTCCACTCAGCTGTGGAGACATTGCTCTTCATGTTGTTGCCACCTTTGCAAAAGATTAAAAAGACGGACAGAAGGGCAACTCTTTGACTAGTTGGTTTCAAGAATTTCCACCGCACTTCTGACCACAGCTGCTTTTATAAAACGTACATTAATATGTCTTAAATGATCAGATCTTGTGAATTTTGTTAATTTTCTGAAAGCTTGAATGTGACCAAGAGTCTACAGGACTGGTAGAGTCGGAGGTGAGCAATGTTCCTGCGGTGGGAAAAAGCAGTTTTGGTAATGAGTTCCTAATGTATGCTTCAACTTTGTTTTATTTTGATAAAAACGATAAGAGTTATTTTTCCGGAAGTCATGTGACCTCTAACCCCAGATGTTTACATTGTGTTTGTGAAAGAGTAAAACGGCGCTAAAAGTGTCAACGATGTTAATGACGTGCCTTTTCTACTGCTTTTCTACGAGGCAAACACCTTTTCACTGTGTTTCATAATTGTTCCAAGAGGTACATTAACGTAATTGTGGACATCAGTTTGATGAGTAACTTTCTTTCAAGACCAGAGTAGTTACAAGTGGATATCGAGGATAATTTTGAGGTCACATACCTGGTTGAAAAGGGGCTGACATTGGAGTTATTGATGGGATTGAGAAGGGTTGGGTAGGGTTGGTGAGAGAATTTGGGCTGATTATGAGGGTTTCTGATGGGTTGCAGTGGAGTTGAAGGAAGTTCTGTTGCATCCAGGATTTAATATCAGTAAGAAGACTTTGGATGTTAAAGTTGAGTGTTATCGGTATGGCAGGAAAAAAGTGTTGCCATGTTGGAGCAGGATTTGAAGGAGGGGAAGGATTTACAGTACAAAAAGAAGGGGGCCGAGGACTGAACCCTGGGGGACACCATGGATGATTAGGACAGTGTAGGATTGTTTAAGGAGATCAATTGATGTTTGTTAGCGAGGAATTATTCTGATATTATACCGAAGGCTTGAGAGGGAGGATCTGCAGAGATAAGTATGTTGTTGCAGCTCTGTGGGACTGTGAACTGAATGCTATAATCTAGTGATGGTTAAAAGTAAACAAACAAACTAGGGATGCTCCGATCGATCGGCCGATATTCACTCTTAATAGTGTGATCGGTGCTCGCTATAAAGGCCGATCAGGAGAGTCGATCAGATGAGTCAAAATACATGACACTTTTCTCTGTGCGCGGCAAAACAAGCTCGCCAAAATGGCTTCCAGTCTGGCAGTTTTTTAAGGTGTCCTAAATAGACAATAAAATAGCTATATACAATGTGTGTGAAGCAGAAATCCTGCATCTCCGCCCGCTGTGACGGACCGGTGAGCGGAGCAAAACACACTAAAAATGTACCTAACACACTTGGCTAGTTTATCCTACCCCTGGAACAAAACTAGTTATACATATGTTTATTCTTCACTGTCGGGTCACTCATTACTGGATCAGTGAGCTGCATGAGATACTGACAGGCTGTCAGGGGAGAGAGAGAGAGAGACAGAGAGAGAGAGAGAAAACAGAGAGAGAGAGAGACTAAATGGAAGATCCCAATAGCCCCCACCAACCCTATGATTGCCGATCGGTATCAGACGATTCTGATTCCGATGATCCGGACGTAATCCATCCCCAAAAACCCTGATTGGAGCATCCCTAAAACAAACCTTTTTAAACAAACTTATTTTAGTGTCCGGGATTCAACCGGTAAGCCTGTTGAAGGTCCTAGTTCTCATGGGATCCCTTGACTTGTCCCACTTTGCTGTTATCGGGTACTTCTCAATCAAATAGCCTTTTTCAATAATAAATCCTGACCGCAAATGACAGCAAAAGATAAAAACATCATTAAATGGTTTAATATATAAAAATATATAGTATATCTTCAAAAGTTAAACAATGACATGTATTTTCTTTGAACAATGCTTACCTGTCAATTCCAATACCCTGCCATTGTTCTGAAGCAAAACAGTGCATGAGAAGCTTGTCAGTTCCACAATCGCGTGATCAGGGGACATTGACTGGCCCATTTTCTGTTTAGCTGAAGCATCAAAGTGGCAGAGGAAAGTCTCATGACGTCTGTGTTAACCTAACTGATGGTGAAGTAAAGAGCTTTCTTCTGTCCATATATAAGCGAAAAGCGATGTTGATCAGGAACTACTTGGTAGTTGGACCAACTTGCTGGCCAATCAGAATCGAATATTGACCCAGATCAAGGTAACACAAAGTTATACCTAAACCAACATAAACCAAGCATTAACTTTACTATTATGAGAAGAGAACTGTAAGAAAGAATCAACTCAACAGGACAATCCAGTGGTAATGCAATTACTTCTCCTGGTCCTGAGAGTGCTTCACCGGTATCTCTGTCAGATTTAAACAGAAGAAACTGTTATATTTAATCCGAGTGGTTAAAGTTCAACCTTGCCCAGACCAGAGTCTGTTGACATACTTGACGACGAGATAAGAGATGTCCAAAGCCTTGCATGTTTACCCATATACAACAGCAACTGCAACACGCAAAAATCCTTTTTGTGGTCTGTCTTTCAGGATAAACACAAAAACAATTATCATGATGCAAACTCCTACAGATTTAACATTCCAAAAAGAAGTCCTGTTAACTTGATTAGCTAGATTGCTCATTATGTCCCTATAGAATCGCATTAACGATCTGGGGCCTGAATATTTTTAAACTACTTGGCTAGAATCAATCATTGGTTGGTAGCGCCACCCNGCAAAGCGCTTTGAGCACCAGGAAAAGCTCTATATAAAACAGTGTTCATTTCGTCAAGAAAACTATTACGAAAATTTAAAAAAGGTCGTTGACGAACATTTTTCGTAATAGTTTTCTTGACGAAATGAACACTGTTTTATATAGAGCTTTTCCTGGTGCTCAAAGCGCTTTGCCAAGCAAGTAAAGAAGAACAAAAATAACAACAAAAGTCAAAAGTGCTAAGCTAGGTGGAATAAGGGCGAGGGGATGGATTAGGAGTTGAAGGCAAGAGTGAAAAGGTGAGTTTTGAGGGATTGTTTGAATGATGTGAGAGTGTTGGCAGATCTGACGTGGCTGGGGAGAGACCGGGCTCTTATCATGTATCAAACATATAGACAAAAACGCTTTTACAACTTTCTTTTGTATAGTGATAACTCTGAACAGTTTGCGCAACTTCTGTGACGTAGCCAAGATGGCGGTCAATCAGTGTGATAAGCACAACACCTCTTATATGTAGCATGTTTTTTTTATACATTACAACTAACTCTATACTTTGAAAATGGGACCATCTGACGAGTACTTGAATGCACCATTGCTTTAAGGAGTCTCCACTCTCCAAAAGACATTCTAGTGTTTTAAAGAAGACGGATGTATTTATCTGATATTGACTGCTCGAATATTTGTTTGAGTCCACCTTATTTACTTTTATGAAGCCCAACTACACTAGTGTAAAAAACACTGAAAAAAAATATTTAAAAATTGTGTAATTTGTTGTTAAAATGCTACTTTAAATCTAGATAGAAAGACCCCTATGAGTGTAGAGCTGTGTGACGCCAGTGCTGCACGTACACATTCATTTTGACTGAATATATGACTCACTTACTGCTTTTGTACTTCCGTATAAATGCTTTTGTGTTTGTCTTTTCTAGTGCTGATCAGGTGTGTGTGTGTGTGTGTGTGTGTGTGTGTATATGTGTGTCTAAAGTAGCTGATGCATGAAAATAGAATAAAAGTGTGTAGCAGAGGACGGGAAGCAGAGAAGCTTTTTGAGAGACTGGGCTCTTATTTAGGACAAATTTAACAAAGTCATCCCAGGAGATTGTGTTCGTTACAGTTCAGAAAACTGTCTATTTTTCTGAGACTGTCAGCAAAAAACAGGTTGACGTCCTTTAAGGTTGGTGTGTTTTCTGTCTTATTCAGTTTTTCTTTCAAGCACCAACTTTTTTCTTAGTTTTGAATTTCACAGCGTGTATTCGGCTGCTCTCCTTTCTGCACAGCGGTCTGTGAACGCAGCACAGCAGGAGGATTCTGGGATATTTTGGGGATCTGTTAAGGCCGCGGACGTCTTCAGAGGATTTGAAATGTTGGTTCTCGAGGCCTTCAATGACAACAGGTCATTATTTATCACACCAGACCTGAATTAATTTTTTTATTTTTTTATTCATGTGTTTTAGCTCAAGGGTGTGATTGTAACCGGTTGGAGTGAAAACCTAACTTTAACAGTTAAAGTCTAAAAAAAGCTGTAAAATCTTCAAGATATGACCCTGTGACAAGAAACAAAGGTTTATCAAAAGGCAGAAGTCTAAACCTTTTCAGGATCACATTGAACATATTCAAATTAGCCTTCGCTCAATGCTATTTTTTACTGAATAATGTCTGAACGCATCACCCAATAAAACCTTCGCTTCGCAACCGTTAGCTGTTAGCTCTTTTTTTGGGCTAACATTTCCCTTTATTTTAATTAGCTGTAACTCTGTTTGTTAGCCAACATTCTCCTTTCAATTTTTACACGGATGAAATGAAGCTTGAGGAAACTATCACTAGATCTACACAATAAATCTTTTATGAATTAGTCTTCTTAGTATCTGATATGTGCCCCCAATAATAAAAAGGGCCTTTGAGGATACACCTAACTTCTCAATAGCAGTCAACAAAAGTAACAAAGCAGTTTATTTAGCAGTAAAGTATAAAAGAATAACGGTCATTAGTATTAGAAAACAGTGATGTGTTCTTGTTATTGCATCGTACTGTCTGCTGTACGTCCTTTTTGGGTGAAGAATGGGTTGATATAGAAATGGTCGTTTTGGGTGTGTAATATTTCTTAAAGGTTGGTTATTTACAAGAATTTCAATTTGAAATTGTTGCACACGATGGTTGGAGTTCACCCTATTCTCTATAAATGCGATTTTTACGTATTTACCTATTTTTTGGACAGTAATTCCCATCCTGAAATTGGCCATTCAGTTTACATGTAAATAG